ACACATTGTTACCGCAGTGTACAATACCGCAGTTCAATTGTGTATGCAATATATAAAAAATCATATAGATACTTGATTTACAATGAATCCATAATCCATATGGTGGACACATTTGTTGTAATAGTAGAAGAAGCAATGTAAAATTCAAAACTTGTATCGCTTTATTGACTTAACTATAGTATAATGCTGTTACATCTGTAACCCAGAAGAAACTGCTGTCAAAAGTTAATACATTTTATAATGTTAGTCAATAAAGTGCTACCAGGTTCTAATCCTATGATTACATATTTTCAACAATATGATTGAAATAGACCTTGACGCTGTACCATTTCTCATGTATAGACAATTCATGTTCTGTAGTTTAATCCGATCTAATAAATATTTGTTACTGAGTTTGTATTATGGTATTGTTGTATTTCATCTGAAGTCAGTGTTTAACAAAATGTTATTATCAAACGGAAATCTATAGCTGAAGTAGTAAATAGTTGCTGTCAAATGGATTTTCTTTCCAGTTCCAGTGTAAGTGGTCCCATCCTTCACTAAATTCCTGTTTTATTCTGAAGCTGATCTCCAGAACCACTGTCTGTGTCATAATCTGGTGTTTCAGTTGCATTCTACCATCTCTAATCATTATTAGATTCGACCATATCATAATATAAATAATAAGTCCATTTGGGAACCTAGGGCTGCTGTCTGGGCTTATGTACAGGATAAAGTTGCTGTCATTGGTACTTATGTTACCTCCAATGTATAATAGTGCCAATAAAAAAAATCATCCGTGTCTCTCTTCACATGATTAATGTACATTTGGGCGTGGCCTTTAATCTCACTGTTTAGGGTCACGTACATGAAAAAATTGCTGTCATCGGTGTTTCAGCATTCTACAATGCACAAGTAGTAATTCCTAGTTGGTTTCATTCATGTCTCTCTTTGCTTGATTTTATCATGTTGCTACTATATATGACCCCGTGGGTCCCTTGGGGCTGCTGTCTGGGCTTATGTACAGGATAAAGTTGCTGTCATTGGTATTTTTGTTACCCCCAATGTATAGTAGTTCCAATAAAAAAAAATTCATCCGTGTCTCTCTTCACATGATTAAATGTATTTGGGCGTGGCCTTTAATGTCACTGTTTAAGGTCACGTACAGGTAAAAGTTGCTGTCACCTGTGACATTATTGCAAGTATCTACCTGGGAATAATATCCACTTATTTTTGTCCATGTCTCTCTCCACATGATTAAATGCATTATTTAACCCCCTATTTAATTTCCCCCCAGCCCGCTTGTACACGTTGTGCCCCGGCAGCAATACTGAATATTGTATCTTGGCCCTACTATCATGACCAGACCATCAAACCTTTTGTCTCTTTTCACATGATTAAATCTTCTGGGCTCCCGGTCTAACATGTTTGCTACATTATTGTGTGTTAAATTTTCATTTCTTTTATTTTGTCACTTATGATATGAAATACAATACTCTAAAAACAAAAACACAAAATAAAAAAATTACAAATGTTTTCAGGAGTTGGACCAGTTTGCCAATAGCAAAATTAATCCCTTTCTCTTTGGCTCTCCAATTCCCATCCAACAAAATAAAATAGAAATCATTACATGTACATAAAATTTATATAATCAATTACCATGTAAAATATTTTAAAACAATTATATTAAAAAATATATTATAAAATACATTAAAATTTTGTTGCTGTAAATGATGTCAATTTTTACACAACATCCTATTATTGTTACTTTGAGTAGCAAGAGATGTAGTTGCTCGCTTAGAAGAGCTTGATGTGTCTTCTGAAGCTGATTTCAACTGGATTAGCCAGCTTCGCTACTACTTCACTGGAACAGAGGTCGATGTACAGATGATCACTACACAGATTCGCTACGGCTATGAGTACCTTGGAAACAGTGGCCGTCTGGTTATTACACCTCTAACTGATAGGTGTTACAGGTAAAGTGTCTTCAAATAGATTATCATGTCAATGGAGTGTAGATTATTATTAGTAATATTTGTTATAGTCCTCCATTCATTAATCATCATCAACGGCATTTTTACCATCCTTTATATATCATCACAAAAAAACTTATCATCATTATCAACAACATCAATCTCATCATTTATATTCATCCTCAACATCATTTTCATTATCAATGATGTCACCAAAGTCGCTTTTGTTGGCATATTTGTCGTCTTCATCCTTGTTGATATTAGGGAGGTTTTGATTGCATGATGATGGTAGACGTGGAACGTAATGACGTCACATATAAGTAAGTTCTTGTCACGTCAATTCCAGGATGCAATTTGCCTGAATCTATGTTGTGTGGGGAATGGTAGGACAGTCACGCATGAGTGAATCCGTTCTAGCATCGTGGCGTTACACATTGACAGCTCCCTGTTGACGTCATTCACATTGGCATCTTGACATTGACATCAACATCGTACAAAATCATCATCATCAACATCAACATAATTGATACCAGCACAGTGAATCATCATCAATGACATCATCTTAACATGAGCTTAGCAACCATCAATTTCGATGCACTTTCTTAAAGAGATTCAGGGAATTGAAGGCATAACATATCTTTTGTTCTCTTCCCAGAACTTTGATGGGTGCCTTGAAGCTGAATCTTGGAGGTGCACCAGAAGGTCCAGCTGGCACCGGTAAGACAGAGACCAGCAAAGATCTTGCCAAGGCTGTCGCTAAGCAATGTGTAGTCTTCAACTGTTCAGATGGCTTAGATTACAAGGCCATGGGTAAATTCTTCAAGGGTCTGGCACAAGCTGGTGCCTGGGCGTGCTTCGATGAGTTCAACCGAATCGAGCTAGAGGTGCTGTCTGTCGTCGCTCAGCAGATTCAGAGTATCCAGAATGCTATCCAGCAGAACCAGAAGAAGTTCATGTTTGAAGGGACAGAATTGACCCTTAACCCCACATGCACAATGTTTATCACTATGAATCCCGGCTATGCTGGTAGATCTGATCTCCCTGATAATCTAAAGGTAAGTAAGCTATATATGGTATTGCTTGATTGATTGATTGATTGATTGATTGATCTTATTCAGTATCAGTAAATGTAAAATAGTGTCTACTGTATATTTCATTAGGTAGATATCTGTTTAGTACCTTTTATATTTTATTTCTTTATTATGATTTGATTTCTTTGTATCTCAACAATAAGTATTAGGATGTACAGGACAATATAGGATTATAAAATTGCATAATTTTTTTTAAATTGTAAAATATACAAAATGTAGTAATGAAGAATATAAATTTCCATTTAACTTTCAACAATATGATTATTCTATCTTTTATAGAAAGCAATTCAGAAATATAAAAACATGTAAATCATAGAGATAAACTGTGTTAAAATACTAAAATAAAGTACTATAAATGTTGAATGTGCAAAGAAAAAATGTACTTAAATTTGTTATTATTATGGATGTTCTAGCTATTCATTTTCTAAGTATGAAAATTGTTGGAATTTACCGAGGCTAATGTGACATCCTTATTCAATAAACCAAAACTGACTGGGGACAAAATGGATGTACACTCACATATTATTTTTCATTGACTGCTTACATAACTATTGTTTTTTTAAATAAATTTTACAGGTCCTTTTCCGAACCGTTGCCATGATGGTACCTGACTACGCCATGATCGGTGAGATTGTGCTGTACAGTATGGGATTCGTCGATGCACGTAGTCTTGCTGGCAAGATCGTCGCCACATACAGGCTATGCTCAGAGCAACTGTCCTCGCAGCATCACTACGATTATGGGATGCGTGCGGTGAAGTCTGTGCTGACCGCAGCTGGAAACTTGAAGCTGGCTCTTCCAGATGAAGGGGAGAGTATCCTTCTATTGAGGGCCATCAAAGATGTCAATTTACCTAAGTTTCTTTCCCAGGTTTGTGAAATTTTTAAGAGTTATATTGCAAATGTATGGGGTTGCCTTCGGAAATATTGTTTTTTAATTAATTTATGTCAAAACATTAATAATATAAAAGTACAATGTAGTCCTTTGAAAAATTAACGACTCCAGAAGATTGAAACTAGTCAGCATTAACTGGTTTTGCAGAACTTTTTTTACAAAAACTTTTAAACTAACCAGCTAATTTTAAGGGTCTATGTAAAGCAAATATGAGGAATAGTGCTATTTATTATGTTTAATTTGGTGAGAAAAATATTTTTTTTATTTTTAATTGAAAGCTAGTAGCTATAATATATTACATAGTAAGTTTTTGTTTAGCACTTCACAGAGAGATTACCTATCTAACATCGCCCTCTCTTCTAAACCATATAAATGTTCATTATACTGATAAAAACATCATCTATCATAAGACAAACGAGCATTTAAAGGCCTGTTCAGAATTTCAAATTTCATTTGACAAAAACATGTGACATGCCTAAATATGGTCATGATGACATCACATCACAACCATATATAGGCACATCATGGCTATATATGGGCGTACATATTCTATAATCTGGACAGAGCTTAATATTATTTTTCCTCATCTCTTTTTAGGATGTTCCTCTGTTTGAAGGCATCATCAGTGATCTGTTTCCGGGTGTGGTCCTGCCAACACCGGATTACGTGGTCCTTCTAGAGGCTCTTAACGATAACATCGCCAAGAGGAAGCTACAAGCAGTTCCTTGGTTTATTGAGAAGATTATCCAGGTAGGCAAATATTATATTTCATTCTAATTATAATACTAATTTATTTGAACATACACTTTAAAAATAAAACAGTGCTACTCTAGTTGAACCATCTACCTTACAGTACTCACTATACAAACCTAAAAAGAATATTAATGTAGTAATAATTAATTTATTACTTCATTCTTCTATTTATTCATTTGTTTAGTCATTTTTGTTACTTTATTGATTTTTTTTTTCATTTATTTCTTTTATTATTTTTTCACATTTCTATTTTGTTTATTTTTTTCCCATAGATTTATGAAATGATGTTGGTTCGTCATGGCTTCATGATTGTTGGTGATCCAATGGGAGGCAAGACATCAGCGTACAAAGTGCTTGCCGACTCACTCGGGGACCTCCATACTGCAGGACTCATGAATGAGTTTAAGGTTATTTATGAGATCATCAACCCCAAAGCCATTACCATGGGACAGCTATATGGATGTTTTGACCCAGTCTCACATGAGTGGACAGATGGTAAGAGAAACTTTATATTTACATGGTTATGCTACTGCAAATTTATAATTAGGTTTTTTAAAATAATTTTTTTGTGAAGCCCTATTCAGACTATCAACATTTATTTAACAAAAAATGTGACATGCCTAAATATAGTCATGATGACATCACAGCAGTCATCAGTCGGCTAATCTGGTGGCAGCCACTGCGTGTGCGCTGAACCATGGAGATCTCTTTGGGCTCCGGTTCAGTTCCCATTGCTGCTTTTGTGTTTCAGCTGGAGGGCTGAAATACAAGTTATGATAGCGCGCTGTCTTTCAGATGAGACTTTTTTAGCCGTTGGTCCCGTGTGCAATATTGCCCATGCACACGTTAAATAACGCAGTACACTCTTCAGAAAAGAGTAGCGAATTGTCTCCTGGTGTACTGTCCAATTCACCACCAGAAGGATCCCACTGGAAATAAGTCTTCGGACTTAGTGGATTATCCTTCTTGGTGTGATTCACACCGAAATACTCCTATAACCATATATAGGCACATCATGACTATATATGGGCATACAACAGTTATTTGACAGTGTGGACTTAATTCCCTTGAGTAGTAGATCCAAGGGTTGGCAAAAAAAAAATCACAAATGTGATATCATTTGGATATGAAATTAAAATGGTTAAAACAGCAAAGCTTCCAGATGGAAAATTCTCTTGGATTCCCACAATATGAAGGGAACACCTTTTCCACACTTTTGGACCAGGTCCTCAACTGCCACTCAAACTACGCTTAGCAAACAAAAGTTTTATATAAAATTTGTATATTATAACCAATAAACCTAGTGAGGCAGATAGGCAAAAAATAAAAACAAAAACAAAATAATAATAATATTAATAATAATGGTAGACTTACATAGCACATATTGTTAAGCCCTCTATGCAATTCACATTATCATCACCCCGTTCATTGGATTAAACACCTATGGAACACGCAAACTTTCTTGGTGACTTCCATAACGTTGCAGCAGCTACATCAGCAGATTTTGGTATTTATTCGTATCAGGTACCCTCTTTTACTCCTGGGTGGAGAGAAGCCATGCAGATAAAGTGACCAAGGACACAAGTGAAATGCACAGCAAGGAATTGAAACCCTAACCTTGAGGTTGGGAAACCAAACCTTTCCTGCTGTGCTAAACCACGTCTTACAAAGAACAAACAATATAACAATAACAATAAACCTTTTTAATAATACAATTATTGTTTAGTATGTGTGTGATATAATTAATGTACTACAGTTATTGCATGGTTCTGGTCCGGTCTGTATAGCTTCAGATAAATGTTGTGGGCATTATGAAAGAGCATTCTATATACTACTGTACAAGATGAGCAATTATTATTATTATTATTCTTTCTTTAGGCACACAACACATGTGCCAAGGATTGCCAATAGCGAAAATATATCACTGTCCTACTTGTAGGTGACAATCCCTTACACAAGAC